CCATAAATGACGTCACGCGATTTTGGCCGATTTTTGACCCCCTGTCCCCCCTCTCGTCACACGGCGTCACAAAAAGTCAGACCCCTCTCAAATATGACGTCACAAAGCTCTGCCCCCCCACCCCCAAAACCATATTTCCATTTTGAAAATAAAAGTTGCTTCAAATCACTTTAAACTATTGTCATTGTAGTGCGTATTTAATGTGGCACTGCACTCTGATGTTGTAGGAGAAAACATGTAGTGAAAAGGAGGCGTTGGAAAGCTGAAATTTAGCATAAAATTCACTTGAAAATATTAAACGTCTAACTAAAACTGCGGATGTTCAGAATATTATTGAAATTCTCTTACAATTATAAAATATTAAAAGTAATTATACAAATACTTGAAACTTAGTAGAACGAAGCAAAATGGAAAGTACAATTATAACAATCACATATTAATTTCACACAATGAAAAGCCCTGGTAGAATCATAAGAATCAAAATGTTTAACAACAATAATAACATTTTTTTTTACAAAATGTATGCTTCTCCTTTCTTCCATTGGAGAAGCAAAATGCTCCTTCATGGAATAAATAAAAGGTGACCTTAGTAAATGTAAATCATCAAATAGTTAATAATGAAAACTAATCAAAATTAGTGTTGTTATAACTATTCTATTTAATTAATATTTATTTAAAGTTGCGCATTTTGATGTGACGTCACATTTCTCAAACCCCCCCTTCCCCCCTCGTCACACATCGTCACAAATGTCTAAACCCCCCCCCCCCCAGGTGCGTGACGTCATTTATGGACGACCCCTTAGCGAAAGAAGCAATAAAATTGTACTTCTAGATTTACCCAATTTACCCAATAGAACCAAAGAGTAATAAAATTGTACTTAACATTACCGTGGTGAGGCCTAGTCCGTTGCTGAACCCGCGGCCTCGCCTAGATTGTGCTGCCGGCCGTGGTGGCTCCCTGGCAGGCTGTGGGCTGGGCCACTCCCCCCGCCCGCGCTACAATAGTTACTATCGAAGCGCTACATAATATTAATGTAGGGATTCTATAGCAGTAACTGCATGCATTGGGGTGGGGGGGGGGGTACCTACGTGACTTTACCGAAAGAACCAAAGAGTACATAACATTTTGAAGAATTAACCTCAGCGTTTTGTGTGAAAATGCCCCCCTCAACCCGACCGACTTGGTAAAAGCCGTCCCCCCCCCCCCCACCGAACGCGTAATAGTTGGTACGGTCCAGCGCAGGCTATTTAATAAATAAATCATCCAAAACAGCACAAATTCGCAAATAAAGCAAAATGAATATGTAGGAACTCTATATCAGTAACTGCACGCATTGGGGTGGGGGGTACATAACATTAAGAATAATTAACGTCCGCGTGTTGGGTGAAAAAGTCCCCCTCACCCCGACCGACTTGGTAAAAGCCGTCCCCCCCACCGAACGCGTGCGACTTGGTACAGTCGATCGCGCGCCATTTAATAAATAAATAACGGCAAACCGCACAAAATCGCTAATTAAAGTACAGTAAAAACCTTGGATTGCGACCATAATTCGTTCCGGAAACGTGTTTGTAATCCAAAGCACTCGTAAATCAGTTGTGATCACGTGACGCTCGGCAGACAAAGCGTATACGTACTACTACTCGTATTGCGAGACCTCGCTCGTTTATCAAATTAATATGTATTTAAAAAAATTTGCTCGTCTTGCAAAACACTCGCAGACCAAGTTACTCTCGCAATCCAAGGTTTTACTGTAATTTCAAGTTGACGGATGTGAGAAAAAGGAATAGCGCTTGCTCACCGCGGGGCTTACGGTGTGGTGCCTGGCTATTTTTTTTAATGTAAACCCCACCGTTGGAGAGCCAAGCGCGTGACCACACACAAACCCACACACAAAACCCACACACAAACCCATATACAAACCCAGTCATAAACCCACACACAAACCCCGCCACAAACCCACACACATAACCCACACACAAACCCACACACAAACCCAGTCATAAACCCACACACAAACCCCGCCACAAACCCACACACATACCCACACACAAACCCACACACAAATCCACACACAAACCCACACAAATCCACACACAAACCCACACACAAAACCCCACACAAACCCCACACACAAACCCCACACACAAACCCCGCCACAAACCCACACACAAACCCCGCCACAAAACCCACACACAAACCCCACACACAAACCCCGCCACAAACCCACACACAAACCCACACACAAAACCCACACAAACCCCACACACAAACCCTGCCACAAACCCACACACAAACCCCACACACAAACCCCACACACAAACCCACACACAAACCCCGCCACAAACCCACACACAAACCCACACACAAACCCACACACAAACCCACACACAAACCCACACACAAACCCACACACATTTTTGACTTATATATATACATTCAACCAGGATAATTACATAAACCCATTGAGACGCGTGAAACATTGTCCCTTTTTGCAGGGGCCATCTTGCCCGAGTATTTATCACAGCAGAGCCATCAGCAAAATACAATTCAGAGAGAAAATGTTCAAGGCGAGGGGGAAAGTTACTTTGGGCTCGCGCAAGAAACCACAACCTAGTGATCAATGATCTCCAAGTGTTCCTAGACCATGGAAACACAGCTCTAAAAATAATGTAGGCTAGGATCCATCTTGGATAGTGAGATTTTAAATAAAATGGTATCAATGCAGTAATCAGGATTATAAACAGCACATTTTAAAAAAGAAATTCGAAGTACGGCTCAAAGTATTAAAGGAACACAAAGGAAATGTACATCGGAGCTGAGTTGCCTCTATGCAGTTACAGCTAACCCAGGGCAACATCTAGGCCCCTTGGAGAAATCACCTACGTTTACCATGAGCAAGGGACTTGTCATAAGCGGCAAAACTAATTTATGGGACGGCTGGCATGGGGCATCCAAGGCACTCACAACACCATGTAGGAGGTAGGCCAAGGCGGGTTGGAAACCCCCAAGTCCCAGTTTCACGCCACTCTCCTAGAACTCAGGTGCAGTCACAGGAGTAGAGACAGTGTGGCTGGATGCAGCAGCAGCAAAAATGTTGCATAAATGACAATTGGATAAGCGGACTGTGACAGCAGAGATGAGGTCATAGTCGTAAAACTCGGGTCATAGGATGAACATGGTGACGACCAAGTCGCAGTTCACTAGATTTTATCGTATGTTCGAAACAAAATTTAAGAGGTTGCATGGATTGCAGGATTCGACCTCGAGGTCAAAGCATTGTTGACGAGGCTACGGATTGAAGGCAGCGTCGTCTAAGTTACAGGGTTGCAGAATTTTTTCATACACCAATTAACACTTCCTAGGTTATCTCCAAGCACTGACAAAATAGCACTGTCCAGGTGAAGGCCAGGTATCACCACACTGTCACGCCCACTGGTAACCTCAGGGACCACTGGACATTGACAACTGGCACGCTTCAGGCAACTGCAATTATTTCCAGACTAAGACGAGGTGGTGTTCAGCAGGGGTCTCTAGGCATTGCCAAACAATGACGAGGTGAAGTCCTCCAAACGTCCCCAAGTATCTCACGGCTAACTGACAAGGTGGCACCAGACATCCTCGACGAGGTAGCATCCGGTGCTCGGCGAAGGCTGAGCCTGAGGTGTTTAAACGGGGCGGCGCATGGGACATGTATCCAAGGTAAATGCGACCTTCCAGGCAATTCCAGGAAAGCGTAAGGTTGAACGTGAGTCACAGAGCAGTGCCCCCATGCTTGAGCCATTGGCTCGAGCGCGGGGACACTGCTGGGAGCAACGGCGCTCCCCAGTCTTGTTCACGACGCCTGCATCACCAACTCACGAGATGGCGACATCTCCTCAAGATGGATGCCGTCCCGTGGCCTCTTCTGGAAGAATCACCCACTTCCGGAAGATTTCAATCCTCGTTTAATTTAATCGAAGATGCCACCGTCTACTGGAAGATGTCATTTGAAAAGGGCTTCTGAGGTGTGTTAATGTTGACCTGCTCTGGTGCCCTCTAGCTTAACCTCCACGAGGGGCTTCTGATCTGTGGGAAGGGACAGGTAGGGTACTACACGAACCATCATTCGGAGCGCCAAAGTGGGATGTGACTTTTTCAACGTTTAACGAGTGCCGATGCAATGTCGCAGTGTATGTGGCTGACAATTTTGGCTTGAGTGTCAAGGCATAGTGTGTCTCACGGTTAGCAATGCAAAAATAACAATTACAGTAAAATATAGCTTTTGATATAAACTAGAGACTTCATAAATCAGGTTTTTTGCAGGATTTGGTTACATCTTGTGGCCTTGCAAAATAACATCTGTAAATAAGACAAAATTCAGTATGGCTATCCCTATGGCATCTGAGCTAAAGATCTGTAGATTTCGTTATATCAATAGAGCATGAATAATAATTAATGTAAAGCCCTCTGTCAATCCTCGACTGGATGATAAACTGTTTGACCATACATCACTGCGGTGGTCCATGTGGTGTTAGCCATGGCTGGGAATTGAACTCGGGCTCACAGTGAAATGTGCAAACCACTTTGCCACTGCTCCCAATAAAAAAATGAAATCACTAAACTACACTGAGACAAACCCTAACACAACCAACAACAACAATACAATGGCAGCTAGCTTTCGTGAGTGTCGTCCATACTTGCCATGACCAAGCGAATTCAAAACTTTGCAATATAAACTTTGAGAAAAGCTTTCCAATTTTATACCACTTGTACGACCCATGTGTGTAGAGCAGTTGCTTCACAGCACCATCCCGTACTGTATCGCCGTGCTGTGAATTGAGGTTTTTTTCCGGAGGACGCTAATTATAGACCCTGTAAATGGACCCGTACCTCTAACTCTCTTCCACTTAGTTGGCTCCACGTTTGGAACGTTAGTGAGATCGTCCCACTGGTTCACTTCAGGTGCCCTGTCATCAAAATAACCAATCATGTAGTTGCAGCTATGATTGTCCGGAATTACCGTAGCTGATCGCCGATAAGGAAGACATCCACGTCGATCGAGTCCTTTTTCAGCATGTACCCCGTGTCGTCCATGATGCTCTTAAGTCTTTCCTGGAATCGCACGCGCGCAAAAACACACGTTCCAAGCGATATTATTGCCTATGACATGTGTAGGTTTGACCGATGGCTACAGTGTGCCATGTGCACGTGCGCATGAATGTCAGTCCCACCGCCTTACGTCAATCCACCGCCGGATGAAGGCGGGGGTTATTTCCATCAAACTTCACCACACTGGTCAGTACAGGTTGGTCAAGGTGGGAAGCCGAGAAGTGGGAGCATAGTGCCCCAGTAATGGATTTTCTCCTGCACTGCTCCCCACCCCCCACAGCCGATGGCAACACCTTGTGTACGGTGGTTTCTCATCCAAGCACTTTCCACGTTGAAAACAGCTTAGCTTCTGAGATCCAATGAGATCGGGCACATTCTGAGCAATTTGGCCATTGGCACTGCATGTATATAACAAAATACACCGTTCGTGTGCATAGTACAGTGGCTTCTTCACTAAAGCCAACTGTTAATAAAAACATGGTTTTTAAATAATTTACAGCCATTTGTCAATGCAGTGCCAGCTGAAAGCCTCCATGCTGTGCTGGTCATGGTGGCTGTTTCGGCGTTACTCTCCACTCTGGGGGTTAGGGCCGGTACAGATATCACTCGTTCCTGACACTAGCCATGGCTGGGAATCAAACTTAGAACCATCAGGTTCATAGTGCAGTGCGCTAACTACTGCAGCGCTGCTCCATCCTATGAAAACCCAGGAAAGAAATCATATGGATTTTTGCCAGTCCAACCAACGTGATTGCAGTCACCAAAGGCCGTTTGTTCTGTGCTTCTCATCTCACAAGAAAAGTCGTTAACTATTACTGGTAGAAACGAAGTTGTAAACTGAGTGTACCAGCCTGCAATAGATTAATGTGTCCGTCCGTCCGTCCCCTTTCAATACTTTAACGAAGTGAAATCTCGTGCTGTTGGGTGTAAAATCAGCAATAGACAGCGCAGAGACTTGATATGTCTTATTGCACCCAACATTTGGAAGTCACATTATCTCATTTGCGAACTTCTACCAGCCCACCCTGCAGGGACCTGTTTAATGTTACACTCGTGTATGATGTACAATGCAGAATAAATCCACCGTGACTGACTTAATAGCACTGTCCACATTTCATGTGCACCGGATGCAAATCCACGGAACGGAGAAGTTAGGATTTACGACAGGTAATTACCAAACAATCTGTGCATGCTGATCTCATGCAGACTTGTTAAAGTATTCTGTAAGGTCCAGCTATTACATTCAATTAATGCCTCGGGGCTATGTTATATGGACTAACCCGCTGTAATTAACGCAGGCACTGTAATGCATTGCTGGCAATTACAGCTAAGGGTCATAAGGTGAGAACGGGGTAGAAAAAATATATAAAGAAGGCTTTTCATTATCAACTTACATAATCGTACACGCATTGAACATTCATTCCATCTTACACATTCGGGAATACACGACTAGATGCCAACATTGACACCCACTGCTCGTGGTCTTGTGTAAGTACCACTTCATTTATGTAGCGTGGAACACGTTCCATAATTCCATTTAATCATTAGTGTTGCTTTATTTGCATGACAACTGTATTTCATCACCTATTTTTTTATCAGATGTGATTGCTTTGTTATCGTCATAGTTTTTAATTTAATGCACACACGAGAGCCTATATATTGTCGTAACCATCAACCGCATTTTCACACATCTTATAAACGTCGCTGTTTATTTTTTGCGCAGTTTTTTTCTTATACCGGATTGCTGCTCTGGTCCTCATTCACGTCTTTGCCCTGTCCCCACGTGTCTCGTGCAAAAGATCTTTGTCTCAGCAGGCTTTCTTAACTTATCTCACCTGCGTCTGTATCAAGACTTGCTAGATAAGTGGCAGTGCCAAGTTATTGGCTTTGTGGTTGCACAGTGGTTAGCGAAAGTGCGTTACAAACCCACGAATATAAATATTGAACGATTTTTTTATATTTTACCAGATAAGGCATACTGAGCTATATATATTTTCAGAAGTGACCTGGGCACAATGATAGCTCAACCAAGTAGCTTATCACGTGGAAATTATTGTAGCTAGGTAGTAAAGGATATGCTTCCTATGTGCGCATTTTATTAGTTTTTACTCATTGTGTGTTATTCTGTTATGTGTTACTTTCACAATCATGTCCTCCCTCCTTTCACATAGGAAAGCCTCACATATTGTCAAGAATCTCTCAAATATAAAATTACGCGATTTTGTATTTATATTACCAGGTAAGACCCATTGAGCTATGTCGCTATTTTTTCACAAGCGACCTGGCTCTCACAAACGATAGCTCAACAAAGTGGCTTATCACGTCGAAATGTATAGCGCATGTTTCTAAATGGAGGGATAAACTAGCAGTGACACGCAAACTCCAAATATACAACAGGCGTCAGGGTAGTGATTGAACCCACGACCTCCTGTGTAGCAGGCGGGGTAGTTAACATCTCCTAGCCACCGCGGTGCCCCCAAATCCGAGTTCGATTCCCAGCCACAGCTAACATCAGTGGTGTTATCCAAACCGGTTCTAGCCCCCCTCGCCAACTTCACCAATCCGCTCGTACTGACCAGCGTGGTGAAGTATGGTCAAAGGGCCCCTACGACTCGCACGGCTTTCGGGAGAGACCTTCAATCCACCGGTGGATTTGCAATACACGGATGCAATGTGTTACAGTGGTCTGGGTTCTCTACTGCATTAAAACGCACACTGTGTCAAGTGCGGTTATGCTGGATGATTGTGAGCCATTCATTAAACCATCTGTCAACCCTTGCGCGCACACACAGCCTGGAGCAGCATGAAGCAGCACCACGTGTGTGCTGGGATTTAAACTGCTACGTGCTGATGTTCGTCGCTGTCCGTTTCCACACAACTTGAGGCTTCACTGATAGTCTTTGCTCTCTATCTCACACACACACACACGCGCACATTGGAGAGGAATTCACTTTTTCTCTCTTCACATTATCCAGCTTTTTTTTGTTACCTGTATGTACGTTTTTTTATTAAATTCAACAACTTGCGAAACAGCCTGCACCAATTTACCGAGAGCAACAGCATAAGCTGCGACTTCAGTGCCGTGAAGTTAGTGAAGTGAAATCATTCCGGCGTGGTAATAATCCAGGTGCACAAAGACAAAGAACCCCCCCATCCCCGTATAGCCTTAACAGACTGTAGGGGCAAGTGCTGTTAGCGAGCACCTTCGAAGGCTGGCACTGAGGCACACCAGGGGGTGGGTGGCCAGCACCACGCCCGGCCGCCTTTGTCTCCCCCAGTTAGTGGCGATGTTTACACACCACCGCACCAGGTACTCATTCGAGGCCGAGTCGACCTAGGGGAGGCTCAGGATCGGTTCAGATAATCGTCACCGGTGTTGGCCGTGAGCAGGAATCGAACCTGGGTGCCCAGGTTCGTAGCGCAGCGTAGCGCTAACCACTGCACCACCACTCCCCACTCACACACAGTGCGCTAACCACTGCACCACCACTCCCCACTCACACACAGTGCGCTAACCACTGCACCACCACTCCCAACACACCACACACACAGTGCGCTAACCACTACACCACCGCTCCCCACACAAACCCTGAGAACAGTTCGCACTTACATGCACACAAAACGATAGCACTTGTGTGCACAAATACACAATACACAAAACACACACACAATGTCTCCTTGTAACACAGGAGTGTACACAATCAAAAATAATGTTTAAAAAGCTGCACAAATTAAGTGTACATATAGGCACAACACACATTCACTACACACAGACAACACAAAATCTTACACAGTACCATAACACTGAAAAAAACACACTGAAACTGCAGACACAGCAAAATATTAATGCATACACACTTATACAGAGCAGACTCTGGAAAACCCATGCAGTACCCGCATAAAAAACAACAAAAATTATATTTTTGCACACAGCAAAACACACACTACAAACATGCAGAGTACACACACACACAACATAGCACACATTGTACACACACAACATAGTACACATTGTACACACACAACATAGTACAAATTGTACACACACAACATAGCACACATTGTACACACACAACATAGCACACATTGTACACACACAACATAGTACACATTGTACACACACAACATAGCACACATTGTACACACACAACATAGCACACATTGTACACACACAACATAGCACACATTGTACACACACAACATAGCACACATTGTACACACACAACATAGCACACATTGTACACACACAACATAGTCCACATTGTACACACACAACATAGCACACATTGTACACACACAACATAGTACACATTGTACACACACAACATAGCACACATTGTACACACACAACATAGTACACATTGTACACACACAACATAGCACACATTGTACACACACAACATAGTACACATTGTACACACACAACATAGTACACATTGTAAACACACAACATAGTACACACACAACATAGTACACATTGTACACACACAACATAGTACACATAGTACACACAACATAGTACACATTGTACACACAACATAGTACACATTGTACCCACATAACATAGCACACATTGTACACACACAACATAGCACACATTGTACACACACAACATAGCACACATTGTACACACACAACATAGTACACATTGTACACACACAACATAGCACACATTGTACACACAGAACATAGTACACATTGTACACACAGAACATAGTACACATTGTACACACAACATAGCACACATTGTACACACACAACATAGTACACATTGTACACACACAACATAGTACACATTGTACACACACAACATAGCACACATTGTACACACACAACATAGTACACATTGTACACACACAACATAGCACACATTGTACACACACAACATAGTACACATTGTACACACACAACATAGTACACATTGTACACACACAACATAGCACACATTGTACACACACAACATAGCACACATTGTACACACACAACATAGCACACATTGTACA